CCTCAAACTACGGCCCGCGGGCCACATGCAAATACAAACACTGTATTTGTTCCCGTTTTGTTTTTTTTACTTCAAAATAAGATATGTGCAGTGTGCATAGGAATTTGTTCATAGTTTTTTTTTAAACTATATTCCGGCCCTCCAATGGTCTGAGGGACAGTGAACTGGCCCCCTGTTTAAAAAGTTTGAGGACCCCTCATTTAGAATAAGTGCCACAGCACAGAACCAGGACTAGATCCCTATTTAGTTGGTTAGGTTTGTAACTGACGAATGCATACATTAGATTTCAAACCACATGCTCATCTGGGGGCGGAACACTCCCGACTTCACAAATGCTATCATAAAACACACTGGTCTGCAGAGGACCCATGGTGTTCAATGACTTGGAAGAGGGCTGAGGAATGTTAGGACAACGCGCCCAGCATTCATTTCTTGTGGCTTACTTCTGAAAAGATTCCACATTGCAATACTATTTGTTTCCCACAAATAATATACAATTCATTCTTCCTTTGAGGCTCTACCTTGGGAGGAAGCTCAGATGCATGAGCCATTAGTACTAATTACTCATAATGTCTCCGGGATTTAGAACAATTATTACTAAGGTTATGGCCTGGAAACAGAATAATTACACTAATTGGAATTCATCAGCTATCCATCTTCATAGTAAGCACAACTGATAAGGTGAAATTTACTATCCATAAATGGAAAGCATCTAAACTTCCAAAGGTGATTTTCAAAAGTCATGAGCCCTCCATGAATATAATGTACTGTAGGCAACCTTTGACACTGAACAAATGTGGAGAGCTTCGTATGTATCAGAACTGTTACAAAGTACTGTCATGGTCAACAAAACTAACACATCCCTGCCTCCTGAGTCTTTTTATCAGAGATGTTAAATAATCACATCAGTTTTGATAAATGCAAGGACAAAAAAAATGGCAAGTGCTATGAGAGGTGTGGGGACAGTCAGGAAAGGGATCTCTGAGAAAGTGACATTTAAGCTGTGGAGTACTTGGACAGTGGGAAAAAGAATATTCCAGGCAGAAGGAATAGTGGGAAAGACCTTAGAGCATTGTGCAGGTGGTGTGGCGAGACAACAGAAGGTGGGTGAGAATGAAAGGGGGTGCAAGAGGGAAACAGGAGGTGAACATGCAGATCAGTGAAGGATTTTATTATTTTATTCTAAGGGTAACAGAACGTCATTATATAAAGCAGTGGTTCTCAACCTTCCTAATGCCGCGACCCTTTAATACAGTTCCTCATGTTGTGGTGACCCCAATTTCATTGTTGCAAATTGAACATAATTAAAGCATAGTGATTAATCACAAAAACAATATGTAATTATATATGTGTTTTCCGATGGTCTTAGGCGACCCCTGAGAAAGGGTTGTTCGACCCCCAAAGGGGTCGCGACCCACAGGTTGAGAACCGCTGATATAAAGTCTTAGGCACAGGAATGTCAGGCTTAGATTTAGGTGAGTATTGGGCAGTAATCAAGGACAGGAATAAAGGCTTTGACAAGACTCATGGCTTAAAGTAGTGGGTGAAGGGGAGCAAAGTGCATCACCCCAAAGTGCCTCTTTAGGGTACTGGTTATTTTATGCTGGTTAATTTTAAGAAACAGTAGGTCTGGGAGAAGCTCTAAAAGTCAAGTAGAAGGTATCCTTTATAAAAGGGCCTTTTTGCAGAAACCTCCATTTGTAAGGGTGTTTCCCTCATTGTATCAGGAAGGTATCTAAATCCCTAGAAACTGTTATCAATCAAAAAGGCATAGACTTAAATCTGAATAACAATTTTGCCCTTGTAACTGGTACTTTTTCTGGTAACTTCCCATAACTCACTCTCTACACCCAGCATCTTCTTTTGACTTAGTAGAAGGTAGTATACCTGTTATTAAAATTGAATTTTAATCTGTCTCAACTTGATTAGACGAGCCAGAAGAACCTTGAAAGGTGTAGGAAAAATTTTCCTCCCCAACAAGGGAAATGGACATATGTGTGAAATAATTATAAAGTAGATTTGATAGACCTTTGTTACCAGGAAGAACCCTTCTTTCTGGAATAAATGGAAGAAAGTGCTATTAACCAAGACAGTGAGCATTGAAAGTAGACCGTGGGCATTGGCTTGAAAATAAAGGCCATATAAATTAAAGAGCAAAAATAAGATATTCTATAGTAACTCACATGTTTCATGCAGAAAATTTGACAGTGAAAATTTTTATGAAAGATATTGAACAGTATCAACTTGCCATTATTTTTAGGGCCAGTGGTTTATCTGGTCTAGTAAAATTGAATTGTTACATTTAATTAGACTGTGGAATAATGAAGCAATATTTTTATTGTCATAGTTAACACACTGTGACACAATCTGAAATTTGAAACAGAAAGCAGTAATTGCATCATTTGAGAGGGCACCCTTGAAAATTGTAAATTGCTTTTTTTTAAAGGGCCTCTCAAAAGAGTTCAGTGTGGACATACCCACATCCCCATTTGTTGAGAATGCCCCTCAAAGAATCCCTTAAGTATCACTATTTGTTTTATTGCCTGGAAAGACCCCAAAATTCATTAGCCTTGACTTTTATGTCATCCAAGACTCCTGACACATGTGATTCCTGAAACACCTTCCTTCCCAATACTTAGTGTCCCGCTGTATAGAAACCTAGACCTCCACCCATTCCTCCCACATGTGCTTCTGTTAAAGCGTCAGTCTTCTAATGTCTTCAAGTCTCCATCCAGTAATACTTGCCCCCTAGTAACATTCTGTATGGCGAATCCCTACCAATAAGCATGGATGCTAGAATAGAATTTTAAACAGGCCTGCACATGTGGTCAATTCTTCCATTATTGGATGGGAGATTTTAAAGTGGGCTTTCTCAGAATAACTCTATTTACTCAACACTAGCTGGTTCTTTACTCTGGATGTACTAAGTCAATCCTTCTCTCTTCTTTTATGCACTCTCTTGTAAAATTCACCCATATAAAAAAAAAAAAAAACTAATGAAAAAGCTTTTAGGCAGAGGAAAACCATAATATACTACATAGCACTAGAGTGAAAAACAGGTTTCACTATGTTAGTGCCTATTGATTGGCGGTGGCTTCCGAAAGCACTGTGTTGAGAAGGACCCTCAGGCTTCATCCATGTACCCATGTCCATCATGAGTACAACAGAGGGAATGATGCCTGCACACACTCTTTGCACCTCTGGGGGCCACTAGAGCCACATAAACATGGCTTTGAATCCCACTCCAGGCTCTAACTCTTCTAGCAATGTGAAGCTTAGCGAAATTAACCTCTCTGCCTCTAATGTGTCAGATGGGGTCACCTATGCTTGCCCCACCTGGATTCATGAGCATTAACCCAGGGACTCAAGGGTTGGGATTTCCCTACTTCCTTCATGAAGCAGCACTTTGCCCAGAAGCTTGAAATTGTTCTTCTGTGTCAAATACCTTCCTTGGCATAAAACATAAATTGTGATGAGCTGAGTGGTATCCCCCCAAAATTCCTTTGTTGAAGCCCTAAATTACAGCATCTCAACATGTGCCTGTATTTGGAGAGATGGCCTCAAAAGAGATGATTAAGTTAAAATGAGGCATGAAGGGAAACCTTTCATCCAATAGCATGGTGTCCTTGTAAAAATGAGATTAGGACACACTGGAAGAGACACCAGGGATGTGAGTGCACAGATGAAAGATCGTGAGAACAGAGCAAGCCGTAGGCCATCTGCAAGCCAAAGGGAGAACCCCAATGAAATCACACTGTCAACACCTTGATTTGGGGTTTCTAGCCTCCATAACGGTGAGAAGATCAATTTCTGTCAAGTAGGCCACCCTGGCGGGGGTATTTGTAATGGCAGCACCAACAGACTACCAGGGGAGCAAAGCACCAGTGTCTTCCACCAACTCTATTACTGCATATGCATCTGGACCCTCTCCGATCCACTCGCTTCCTTCTTTTGCCAGGCTATGTTCTTTTCACCCTGGGAACACAGGAAGGGAGCCCTGGGGCTCAGAAACAAGAGGTAACGTGGACTGCTGACCTAGAATAATGTAGTTTTGCTTCCTGTATTGTACTTACCAGAAACCCTGCCCACACAAGGGGAATACAGACACTCCTGGGAACAGAAAGGAATGGTGTTCCCCTCTCTCCATCCAAACACAGGGCTGCAAAATTACCAGGCTGAACTTCCCTCAAGCATGGCCATTTCCTCCTTTTCAGGTTTTTTTTTAAAAAACCTCAGTATTGAATAAGAAATTCTGTTGCTCACAGGTGCCCCTCCCTCTCTCAAGACTGAACTGTTTAATTAGGTAGGGAGGTAGTTAAATGTGTTATCAGAATCCAATTTAATGGAAATACATCCTGGCCAATTAAACCTCACACTAACCAGAGCACGCATATTAGTGCTCTAAAACATGTGTTCTAGCAGTTAGATATTTTCTCTACCAGGTAAACTATGCAAACAATTGCCAACGTGTCAGGGCCTGCTGGTTTGCCACACGGCGTGCTGCTCATGTTAAACACCCTAAGAGTTTGGGTGTCATCTTGCCTTTTAGATAAATCTCCTCCAGTTCACACCCTCTTCCAACAGGATCATGCCCAGCTCAAATTTAGTTTGAGTTTTTTCACTCCCCTGGGAAACAGCAGTAACATTGCTTGCAGTCTGACATCATCCTGGACTTCTTTGCCCTTTAGCTGAGATTCTTGGCTCCCACTACAGAAGTGATAAAGGATCCTCCTTTGGTCATCCGCCCAGCCAAGGGGGATCAATACAAGAATGAGACCCCCAAGTAGTGACTCTTGGTCTAAAGAAGGCAAGTGAAAGGGGTTAGCATGAGTGCATTTGTCCTGATTTGCCAACTGTTCCCTCTAACCACCACTTCTCCCCTGAATGTTCTAATATTTGTTGCGGGGAGCAAGGATACAGTAATTTTTTTTAAAAAAAAGTGTTAGTATTGACAACATTAAAATTTAAAGTACAAAAAAAGTGATGAGAGGAAGAGATGTGAAGACTGCTGAAAATTCATTTTTTTGTTAAATTCATTTTTTATTACATTCTCTACATTCAGAGTTAGTAGCCAATTAAACATAGTATCTTAGAAATATTACTACAATGCTTTTCCCACTGAGAGTGCATTGCATTGAAAACTACAACTCTTACCTTAGTGAAATCTTGTGTTGTAATTCCATTGTGTAGTTAACTCCTCTCTGCATTGTGGCCAGTTGCAGTCTCCTAAGACAACCACCTACCCAGGAAACCTTAGTACAGCTGAAATCAACGCTAAGCTCTCTGGATGGTGGAAACAAAACCAGTTTAAATAGAAAGGGTAGAGGTGAAGAAGGTGAGCTACTAATGTTTGTCTCTTACACCAATGAAACCTTCAGTGAGACTTTATTAGTCAACCACTGGACTGGATTTGGGAGAAGAGTAACATTCAAATGTGAGTCACATGAAGAAACACACACCTGGGAAACCATTATCCATCTTGTCTTGACAACCTTTCGAGAACATTGGGACAAACACTTGTTGCTATTTGTCTGAAAATCAACACTGAAATTTCTGGAACCTGGTTTCTGAAGTCCAATTGGGTGAGGTCTCAACAAAAGATCTCCAGGACTACTGAGGAAATGCTCTTGCCACAATAAACCTCCTGTCAACAGGGTGGTATCCACCAAGGTTGGGTTACCACAAGGAGACCCAGGAACTACTTGTAACTTCCAATTGTTAACTAAGATCCTTTCTTTTTTCCTCCGGAAAATAAGTCATTCAGAAAAGATTCCAGAACACCTTGTTTAACCCAAACAATGTATCTGGTAAATAAATACCCTAGCAGTCACATAACCTTACTCTACCTTCTTACCTTCTTGATGAAATGCAGAAAAAAGGGAGAAAATCACTTCAAATCTTCCCACTTGGAAATCACTGATTTCTCTAGATTTTCCTTTTCCCAATCATCTTAAATACGCTCAAGGCTAATATAGGAGCTCTTTATCCTCTGTTGAAACAGCTGAGAACATTTTGTAAAGGTCAAAGACAGCAAATATTCCTACAGCCCCTACTGTTTCCAAGATAAGCTCAGAAAAGCTTAAGACAGTGCTCTGTGAAAACCCAACAATTCTAAGGAGAACTTTTTCTATATAGCCTGAAGAAATAGGAGTGTTCTGAGTTACTAAATGGTTGCTATTGTTTTCCCTTTTAATATACTACTTCCACAATTAGATGTTGTTACTATTTGATTTGGCTATTACATTAACCTAGGTAGTAATGGTGTTTTGAATGACTGTCAACAGGTAAATGATGTGGGTCTTTTCAAAATCACTTTGCCAAGCAATTCAGGAAACTTATAATGTAGAAAGCTCAACCAGGAAAAACTATTCTCTAGCATCTATTCTTCAGAGACTTAAAAAGAGGTTTTAATTAGAACTTATTTTAGGAATACATCTTTTTCTGAATGTGCAAAATTGTAATAACTTCAAGCATTATAAAAACTGTGAGGTCATCAAATTCATCAAAGCTTATTCTCTTTTGAAATGTCTAATGATGATGATTTAAAAATATGAATTAAACTTGGTTCTTATCTAAACTTCACTATCAGTTTCACCAAATACTAATGTAAACACTTAACGTTGCTAACATCAGTTTCAAACATCTAAACAATAATTTGCAAAATGTTTTAACATGTACCTCAGTTCCATGTTTTAATGACTACTTCAGAAACTTAGAGCCCTTTAAGTCCTCTAAATCAGCCCAAATACTATAAATGATCATTCCAAAGAAAAAAAGATTAAACCTCCTGTATTATGCAGCTTTCAAACCAAGAAGCCAGATAAGACTGGTAATCAGCATAAAAGCTCATGTCCACCCATCACCTCCCACAGCGCAGCAGGCTGGATTTCCCAAGGGTTCCCCGGAGCATTTCTAGGGCCCGAAATTTGATGATCCCACTTGCTCTGTAGTCCCCTAGTTAGTCTAATACCAACTGGCTTATTTTCAAATATGTTACCTCCATCCACAGCTCAAACCTTGGACCACTATTACTTTTAGGTGGAAAACAAAAGATATGGCACGAAGATTTCATTGTATGAGCCAAGTTATTTAATACATGCCATGAATTCTTTGGCATATGAAGGAAGTCACGGGCGTATTCTGTAAGAAGCAAAGGTCAGTTTGAGAAGAAAGATGGTGCATAGATAAAGCAGCAGGTGGGCACTGGAGACACGGGGCACAGCGATGTATCAAAAAGTAGTTCTTGCCGAAATCGGTTTGGCTCAGTGGATAGAGCGTCGGCCTGCGGACTGAAAGGTCCCAGGTTCGATTCCGGTCAAGGGCATGTACCTGGGTTGCGGGCACATCCCCAGTAGGGGGCGTGTAGGAGGCAGCTGATCGATGTTTCTCTCTCATCGATGTTTCTGGCTTTCTATCTCTCTCCCTTCCTCTCTGTAAAAGTTCAATAAAATAATAAAATAAAAAAAAAGTAGTTCTTTCTGCAGGAGGGGGGCTGCAGCAGAGACACATAGACTTAAATTTGGATTTTCAAAAAAGTAGGAGGAATGCTTTTTTTATGTGGCAGACAGTAAGTAAGAGGTTGACTCAAATTGAAAGGGAGGGACAGTAGGAGCGCGGCTTTATTGGGAAATAACCTGGGTGTCCGCTCAGCCACTAAGCAGCTCACGGGACCTTGAGTAAGCCACTAACTCTCCTAAGGGCCTTTTAAGTTCCAAAATAAGTGTTTTAGTCATGAGTTTTCAAACCTTTTGTTATGATGACATGAGTATTTACAAAGGACTTCTGCTGCCATTAGGATCGTACTGAAAACAGCCACTGAGTTTCCGCAAATGAATCCTGCACGCACGGAGGCAGAATGGAAACCAGTGAACCAACTTCGGGCTTGGTTTATTTCTAATCAGGCAAGTCGACTACATAGCTGGGAGAGGGTTGACTGGTATCCAATTGGTATCTCAAAGTTAGAATTACAGGTATTTGAGTGATTGCCTCCACCTATGAGGTGTAATGGGAAAAGTGAAGGGAGTCACCCACAGTCTTTATTAGGAGCAGCCATCATGATCAGACTCAAAAAGGTCTGACTTAAGGATATTAGCCCGTGTTCACGGTGACAAGAGGACATCTAATCTATAAGTGACTTAATGTATCTACTGATCAAATATTTACTCTGCCCTGCATCTTTTCTATAATACATAATTATTCATTGAAGAACTTAGCACAACTCTCTGTAAATAACATTGAAGATGTTAATACATTAGCAGGCTGTCCATATTACATAAGGTAAAATGGCAAAGGCTTATGGGAGCCTAATATAGCATTGTGGAGAGGAATGGGGCCATCAGACAAAGATTTGAATTCTATCTCTTTCTATTAGCTCTAGAATATTATGAACATTATTTAACCCTTATGGATGAAAAAAAGGGGCCACATACTAATCCTGATAAGCTCAGGGGTGGCCTGCATGGGATAAAATTCAAAGAGAGCATATGATATACAATAAACAGCCAATAAATGTTCAATTTCATCCCTTAATTCTCCAGATTTTTAAAAAACAAACTCATAGATAGAGGAAGTTTTAAAAAAGATACAACTACCATGTCCAAAACCTATTTCTACAGTGAACACCTGACAGATAAGTAAAATGTCATTTCCCTCCCAAATCCATAAGGTTCAAAACATGTTTAAACAATCTATTAAAAATGATTTAATCAAAATAAGAATGACTTCACCTTCCCTCAACAGCATAAGCCAGTGTCCAGAAGGCCAAAAACAAGCCACGTGGACAGATCCCTGAGTTAAATGCCTGAAAGGTTGGAACTTACTGGAGGAGGATGGATCAGCCCCAAATATCTGAAATTCCAAAGAAACAGGTTTGTTTGTTTTTAAGAGGCCATAGTGACCAAAGTCTCCATGTAGATATTTACTTGCAAAGGTGACAACATCTTTACATTCCGACCTAATACAGTTTCACTCCTAGAATGGAGATAGTGGGGATGTGGGAAAGTGGAAGGATATATACCATGTGCAACCTTAGAATTTTAAATATATAAATTGGTTTATATCAATCTTAATACTAATGACTACGACACTCCTTTCAAATGCCAATTAATGCACCTTGAATCAAGACACAACAAACACCAGTACTTTGAGGAATTCCCTAACATCATCCAGTGAGCCTTTCTCTGAGCTCTCTCAAGTTCCAAGGACTTTCACTTCTTTTCTTCATTTTAATGCCAATTCAGTGTGGAGGCTAGGGTTGTATTAACCTACCCACTTTGAAACTAGGACAAGTGTCCTGGCCATATATTCAAGGTATCATAGGACTTGACTATGCGGCCAGGATTATCCTCAACCTCAGACTTTAATGTCCTACCATCTAGTCTCTTCAAGGCACCACCATGGCCTGTCTGGCAACAGGACCCCAGAAACAAGCCTATGAACAGCTACAGAGGTGGAGGATGAAGCAAAGTAACCTGGGCTTCTCCCCACTTTGTGGTGAATGTGCTAAATAAGATGCACTGAATAGGTGTGTGGCACTGTCCTAAAGTGTTTGAGGATTTCACTTAATCCTTAACAACAGCTCCATATTGTAAACCTCATTTTACAGGTGGGGATTGAGGCACAGAGAAGCTAAACAAGTGGCCAAAATTCACACAAACAGAAAATGGCTGAGACAAGATACTTAACCCAATGAATCTGGCTCCAGAGTACAATTCCACACACTTCACCCTCCAGCCCATGCTTTCTAGATATCATACTCCCTTCGCGATGTACAAATAATAGCTGAAATACACCTTTCAGAGAGACATCCAAAAAACAAATGAATCCTTCCTCATCCAAAATGAACCACCACAACAAAATCAATTCAACAAAGTTCAAACAACGTTTAAGTGTTAATGTGGAAATACTGTGTAAACGCTTTGCTTCCCCACTGAACACCATTTTCCTATATTATCTTGAAGTGTTTCCTTATGCCCTGTGTCCCTGTGGTGCTAGCAGATGGTTTCTATTTCTCAATATCTAAAGCTTTCAGGAATTTATTCCTAGACTACGAAGCCTGCTCAATCACAACCTCCCTTCACTGATGGACTTGACTTGGCAAGAAATCTCTGCTTTCCCTGTGTTTGTTCCAAAAAAAAAAAAAAATCGA